GTTGGGGCAGGGGGTGGGGGGAAGGGGGGAGGTTGTTGTCAAGGCTGCACTTCACTGTGAAGGCTGAGGGGCGGGAGGAAAGAACACCCCTCTCAGAAACACAGTTGCCTTTTCTTTTCCTCTTCTTTTTCTGTTATAAGGCGCACGTGCACACCTGAGAGAGACAGAGAGAGAAAATGAGAAATTGCCCCCTGGGAATGGCCACACCACAATCCCTTCTCCTCCATTCTCCTTCTGGAATTTTGGTTAAGCATGCATGGTTTTGGCGTGATTTTCGAGCCACTGGGTCCAGCTCGAACCATGATGTCGGCCATGTGGGATCCAGCTGCCTTAATCTCCACACCACCTGCTGGCCCGCATTTACCTTTTTATTAAACTTAATGGCCGTCACAGGAGGCTAGGTGCATGCTCCAGCTGTGAGTGCCCACCATGGGAGCCTGGGCTTGCAGTGCTTAGCCTGCTAGCTGGCTAGGGACGGGCAGGGATGAGAGGACAGAGTGGATCCGGTTTATCCTGGGTGTGTACAGAGGGAATGGGAAGAGCTGGTGAGTTGCTTAAATGTGTGCTACATTTGTGAAGCAAGGTGTCCCGAGGTAAAAGTAACAAGCTCGGGGCCAGCAAGTGGCATAGAGGTTAAGGTACTTGACTCCCACATAATCGACAATGGTTCAAGTCCTAGACCCAGCAGCTTCAAACTCACACCAGGTATGTGTGCATGTGTGCCCAAAATCCCGAGAGGAAAAAGGAGGAAAAGGCATTGTGGCATGGCCATCGACCCGGGGGGTGATTTCTCACTTTCTCTCTCTCCATCTCTCTGGCAAGTACATGCACCTGATAACAAAAATGTCTCTCAAAAAAAAAAAAAAAAAGTAACAACAGCAGCAGAAAGAGTTCAGTCATTTAGACCTGTGGGGCTCAACACCATGAGACACAATAATCCTCCTTTTAAAACTTACTTTTATAAGAACTAACAGTTGGTGTAATGGCTATATCGCTGGACTCCCATGTAGTCAACTGTGGTTCGAGTCCTGGACCTGATGGCTTAAACTCACGCTGGGCGCATGTGCGTGCGTGCCCAAGATTCCTGGAGAAGAATGGGGGAGAAGGGATTGCAGCATGGCCATCCCCCCTGAGAGGGTGATTTCTCATTTTCTGTCTCTTTCTGTCTTTCTGGAGAACATATGCACCCTATAGTAAAAACTTCTCTGGGACCAGCAGGTGGCATGGTGGTTAAGGCACTGGACATTCCCACATGGCTGACCA